AGCAAATTGATAATTTTTGCACCTGGTGACAGATGTACACACAGACCAGTATACATGTGCAAGACACACAGAAATATCTCCATCAAACCATATAAGAACTCCCAAATACCAAATTACCCCTAGCTAATGAGTCAGCTCTCACATCCACAAATACTACAATAACCATATTACACACCTCCAATACATAGATACCATCCTCCATCCCCTCTATAAGCACAGAAACCATCTCTCCCTCAAATACACACACCCTCGGTACCCAAAATATGTGAGCCTTAGGGCCCGACTGAAAAATGCAAACACGGAGCTCCAGAAACATCCCTCCCCGGCCACAGCCCTGGAACACACAGTAAACTCCACACACACACTCTCCACAAGCCCCAAACAGACCCACGAATACCCCGTGCCCTGCAAACATGCACACCTGTCTCCCCATACGTATGTCCCAAACACACTTCATGCCACATACACAGCTGCGCATACATACCCCCTCCCAAATTCCCACAGAATTCACTCTTCCATCTTGCAGAACACACAGCCACACACCCCACACCAAACCGCACAAACAGTACTGGACACCGGCATATACAACACCCACCGGTCCTGAAAACAGTCAGACTGCCCTCTGCACACTGACGGAGGCATAGACAGCCGCTGAAGATGACAAAAAGGAATGCACGTAGCCACACAACATGCCCCGAACACAGCATGATCCGTCCACAGTCCCCAAGTACAAAACACAGAGCACACACCCAAGCCAACGAAACCCGCACTTGTCCTCACACTGCCCTGTGCATCTGCAGATAATCCCTCCCAATCGGCCATTAGGGAAAAAACCCGGATTCACAGAAGGAAAAAACACACAAAACCACCGGTAAACATTTCCCCCATCAGCGTATTACAAACACCTACCCAGCAACTCCCTGAGGATACACGCACTACACCTCCACACCCTCCAAAACCAGCGCTCCGCCTGCAGGTTCACAGACACGGGCATGGCCGCCCCGTGGCCACAGCCGCCCGCAGACACAGCGAGCGCCCACAGGGCGCACACACCTCAGACCCGCCCCAGTGCCCACGCCCCGACCCAGGCTGCCCGCACCCCAGCATCAGCACCAGCTGCATCCCTGTGGGTCGGCAGGTCGCCCGGCATGGCGGATGCGGGGAGGTGCCCGCTGGCCAAGGCCCTGAGGACAGAGGCCCCGGGACTGCGGGGAGTGGGAGCTCCGGCCCGTCCACTCATTTCAGGGAAGAGAGCAGCTTCCTGCCGAACCAGAGGCGCCATCAGAGGCGGAAGAACTGCCGGGAGCCGCGCTGTTCAGAAAGCGGGGGACACAGACCGACGCCCCGAGCTGGACTCACAGGCATCACTGGGCCGTGTAGGCCCCCATCACTGACCCCCAACGGCCAGTGGCTGTCAATTCCCGGTGAAAACACACAGAAATATGTGAGGGTGTGGGGGCTGAGCACAGACCCGGGGCACAGAGCCCACAGGTGAACCACAGAGAAGAGGGGGCGCCTGAGGGGAGAGGGGGCCGCGCGCCCCTTACCTCCCTGTTTGCCTAACGGACTCCGGAGGCCGCCATGCCAGGCCCCGCGTGCAGCCTGGGCGGCCGTTGGGGACCCGCCCTGCCGTTAGCGCATGCGCGCGCCTGTGGGCGCCAACCGCCCCAACGGACACTGGGAGCAGGTGCAGGACAGAGCCCCGCCCCCAGTGGGCGTGCTCGTGCGTCCTGGCGCGAGGCACCCTGGGAAGGGCCCAGGCTGTCCCTGCAGGAGAGGAAGGAGTGGAGGGAGGGGCCCTGTGAGGCCTCCTGCAGGTCCTCCTCCCAGGAACCTCCCAGCGCATGTGCAGGGAGCACTTGCGACTTTAAAGTTGTAAACGTGCAGTCCATGCACTTGGCTGCCCCCTCGGGACAGAGTTTGGGAGAGGCCGGCCTGAAACATGTTTTAAATGCTGGTGAAGGGGTAATAAAACATATATATAGTAGCAGAATAAGTGGGGGTCTGTGTCCCCCGCTTACTGACTTCAGTTTGTCATGCTTTCCAAAGGAACTGAAATCATCCTATCCTCCTCTGGTCGTTTGCAAGAATAGAGCATTTCCAGCCCACGGGGTCTCTCTGAAGACCACGCACATCTAACAACACTATGTGTCTCCAAGTGCACAGACACTACTGCACAAAACACAAACATGGCATCTCGCCATTATTCCAAGATTGCATGATTGGGCGGGAGATAGCTGTCTTCTGAAGCTTTGATCCACCCCTGGAAGATGTCTTTCTCAGCTCTAAATGCCCTCCGTTGGCCTTTCTGCAGGAATACCCAGAGAGATGGCCCAAAGCACTTTTCACTACCCTTCCATGGCCAGTCCTCCCGGATTACCTTTGAGCTCATTTGATTCTTTCTGCTTCTTGCACCTACGACTTTGATGTAGTACAAAGTGATTGCAGTATTGGAACCAGGTAATTTTTCCCCAATGCAATATCACTGGCCCTGAGAAGAGTCATTAAAAGCCTATCAAAGCCATGAGTGAGAATCTTGTACATAATTGGTTCACTGACTGGACAAGGGGAAGAAGCAACAAGGAAGCCTGCCTTTTCTGAGTAACTGAGTACCATATTTTCCTCACCATCCCTCTAATATAAAGTTATTGGTTGAAAGTCATTTAAGGTTATCTCCTAGATAAAAGCTCAAATCCTGATAAATATCTTCAAGTTCCTTTTTTCAATCCCCAGTAGTTTTTTTGAAATAAAGTCCACCATAAATTTGCTTGAATTGCTCTTATCTCATCTCAGCTTCTTTTGAGTCTATTTTTCCTTGCAGGCAGCAAGGAACTTCTTAAGTGCCAACAGGAGGGTTCTTTTTTAATGAATTTTCATGGTGTGGAACTACGTTCTAAGCCTCTCCTCTCTTCCCCAACACCCTACCATCAGTAGGAATTCTGCTGCTATAGTGGGAGTGAAGATTGACTCCCAAGAGATTTAATTGAAATCCTCCAAAGTTGTGACCCCTCATCTCTCTTGATCAATTTCCTAACAATCCTCTCCTCTCACAAAACACAAATGCTTGTTCATATCATTTGGATAGTGATAAACTGACATTTGTGCACAATATGAAAATAAGAACCACCAAGTTTTTTAAGGGGTGTGACCATGATTCACATGCAGATGGGACCACATGGTATGATGAGCCTAGATTCCAAAGAGCAAGGGTATATGATGCAGAGAGACCATTTGGAAACCAATGAGCAGGGTGTCTAGGCTCACACCGGCAAGCTAGGACTTAGGTGGGTACAGGTTTTTATGAATGGGGGTTGGACATGGTGAATAGAATTCTGGCTTCCTCTCAAAGTGCACATCCACCTCATGTGTAGTGCATTTTAACACCTAGGAAAATCAGGACCCTAGGGTGTTGACCCCATTAACTTGTGAAAGCAGAATTTTTGTCTTCCTGTCTGTTATTTCTGTCCTTAAACCCACTGAGCCTAGACGGCTCTCACAAATTCCATATCCTCCAAAGAGTGTGCATATGTCACGTGTATGTGCAATTGTGTTTTGTGGTGAAGCCAAGATGCACACTTGAGTCTCTTTACTCGGAGTTCTTCTTACAGAGGTGAGTAACTAATAATATCGTAATAAGTTACTTGTTTGATAGAGTTGCCAGAGAAACACAGGATAACAGTTAAATTTAAATTTCAGAAAACAGCAAACAAATTTACAGTAGAGGCATATCCCAAATATTGCATGGGACACAATTTTCCTAAAAAATAATTCATTGTGTATCTTAAAATCAAGTTCAAGTGTGCATCCATTATTTGCTAAATCTGGCCACCTATTCTTTCATGTACTTTGAATTTTAAGGGACTGTAGAACTTCTTGTTCTAAGAATCTAGCCTCCAGAAATAAAGAGGAACCATGTTACCAGTACAAAGACAATCATTGTAGTATATATAAATAATATTACATATAAAATAAATATATTAGAACATGTATTAATTTTGAACATGTATTAATTTTTAACCAGAAGAAAAAGCCTAGAGCGCTTTGTAAAAATGAAAATAGCATGCATTTGTTTTTGGTTGCATGATACATCTCTGGGAAGACTGAAAGGAAACAGACAACACTGGCGTCCTGTGGGGAAGAAGACTGTGCTCTGGGGGGAGGAAGCAGGAGAGACTCCTCACTGCATTTTCCATTTTGCACCACTTGACTGTGAACGATGCAAAGGCATTACTTGTTTAAAACATTATATTAAAATCAAAGGTTAACAATTAAACATTGAACATAAAACTCTGAAAGACAAAAAGTGGTGATTTCTGGTCTTGCCCTGTAGGCTGCAGGGCCTTGCCCTGATGGACTGGAGCAAAGGGGATGGTTTGTAAGGCTGGGCCGGCTGCACCTGCCGGGCTCCCAGCACCGGCGGCACTTGGGGCCACAGGACTGCTTCCTAAGGAATGATGTGCACACAGCCACCGAGCATGCTGCCTCTGCTGGGTCAGTCCTAATTTCAAACACTGGGTTCCGTGCGGCCATAAATTCCGAATATTTTTTCAGGCTGTATGGTCTGAATTTTGTTCAGAAAGTGTAGCCTGTGTTGAAGTCAATCAAGACCAGAAAGGAAGCAGGTTGAGGACCCAGAACTAGGGTGATGGATCAAGAAAGGAGATAAGGGCACATCAGGTAAAGACTTTGTGCTGTGAATCTAAAAACACCAAGGTATGCAGTGCCTAAGAGGCACACACCAATTGTGTTGCCTCTTAAATTTGAAAGGAACTGCGGGTTCTCGCCTACCTGTCAGAGCCCTCCATGGAATGTCCCCCATCCCCACCCACCCCGGCCCACCGGTCCTCGGCCCCTCCCCCGCTGCAGAATGTCTGGAGTCCTACGTTCTACAGTTTAAATCCAAACCTTCCCTCCACTGGATGCTGAGCAGCTGTTGGAGCAGGTCACTCTCTGAATCCTCAACTTGACTTTTCTCATTGTGGAGGCTACTAGGCAGCGGTGGTCGGTGAATGAGCCTGCGGGGATGGCTTCAGTAGGAGGTAAGACTATAGATTGGAGGGGGGATGTTTTAAACACCGACATGTCCCTCAAAACTTGGGGTTAAACTGTGACACTGGGGAAACACGGTTTGACTGAAGTAGGGGAGGGAGGGAGCACTGGACCTCAAGCACCTGTCACCCGGGGAGGCTGGGAGCCCATGGGAACCTGTGAGGGCACTGGCAGGAGGGCCCCTAGAGGTGGGTCAGGGTGGCTCAGGGAAATGCCTGGGTGTGGAGAAAGGATGGCAGCAGGCACGTGGGTTCTTCCTAGAAGGGAGACAAGCCACTCCCACGTGTGTGTGGGGAATAGTGGGCGATGTGGGGGTGGCACAGGGTGGTCACGGGAAAGCCTAGTCCTGTGTGCTGTTCTTGGGGCACCTGGAGCTTGCCCCGCAGTATCTTTCTAAGGGACTGGACCTGAGTTCACTAGAGCTAATGGGGGCCGTGGGAGGGTCTTAGCCAGAAAGCTGTCCAGTGGGGCTGTCTGTGGCCAAGTCCACAATGAAATGTCCTCCCCGAGGGCTGGGCTGGAAGGTCCTCCAACTGCTGCAGCCCAGAGCTTCTCCCCTGCTTCCGGCCCAGAGCTCACTCCTCCTCAGCCCAGGGAGCTGCTTGTTGGCTTGGATTCCACAGGGGCAGGGCGGCCGGGTAACTTCCACCAAGAGAGGGCCCGGCTCCCTGAGCTGTCCCGAATCGACCCCCTGTGGCCACCCAGGTCTTCAGACCGACTTCCTCTTGTCCTGTATTTCATGGCGCACCCTCTGCCCTGCCCTTTACCTTTGAGATGAGGGGTTTGCTCATAGGCCACGTCCCTGCTTCAGACACAGAAAAAAGATGTGGAGCCTGGGTGGTGTCCCGTGTAACGTCTGTGAAGGCAGATTCCTTTTTAAGGGGGAAAGGGTAGTGCACAGGGGCAGGAAGACCATGGTCTGTGTCAGTAGTAAACGCCCGAGGCGGCCTGTCCTGAGGAATTAGGGGCACGCGGTGTGCAGCGTGCTCTCCTGGACTAGGTCTGCTCCAGTTCCTCTGAGCGGGGACATGTTCAGACAACTGTGTCCCACTGTCACCGGCTCACACCTGCTTCCTACTGGCCTTCACTTTCCACTGTTGGGAGCTGGAAGGGGAAGGACCTCACACAGTCTGCAGTCCCACCACCCATCTAACAGGACAGCAGCTATGGAAGTTTCTGGAAACCCCTACCAACAGCCCCACTTTGCCGCATTCCATGGCCCTTCTTTAACCCTCTGCAGCCATTGCTGGCTGTGAAATGAAAAGCTCCTGAGGGGCCATTAGTCTGAGGCCTAGGGCCGAGTGGCAGGACCTGGCCCGTGTTGAGTGTTCACTGTTGGTTCTGACACACATGTTCATGCTGGTCAGTGCATTCAAGGGTCAGATCAGGGTCCCTGTGCCTTCTTGTGGAGAGACATTACTCAAGTGTTTCTGTGTTGTTGTGCAAGCCCAGGACAGAAAGGGGGTGATTTATTGAGAAAAGGGAAGACTGAGGAGCAGATGGGGCCCTAATATTTCAGACACGGCCTGTTCTCAGAGGCCCTTTGGGTGCCTAGAACTTACCTTGGAGAAGGTCACTACCGGAGTGGGTCTGCCTGGGGTCGTTGCCCCCAGAGCAGATTTCTGCCCAGGGCCATGCCCTGAGGCTGGCAGGGTTGGTGCCAGGGAATCCTTAGGGCGGCTCTCAGGGTCAGCGCTGGCTGGGGCCGTTTCTTCTCGCAGACAGTGGTCAGGGAGCCTTGGCGATGGGGAGCAAGCTCTCCAGTGGAGAAATTCCCAACTGGAGGTCAGAGTGTGACAATGACCTGAGGACATCTGCCACCTCCGCAGTTTGTCCATCCCAATGGCTCTCCCCTGGGAGACTCACTGCTCTGACTCCCCAGTGGCTACAGGGGGCCCAGAGTGCCTCAGTGCTGTTTGCTGGTTCACCTCCTCCCTTCACCCTTTCCTTTGTCTCAACAGCATCTGCAGTGCTGGGAGCGGATGTGACCCTGAAGCCTGGTGCCTCCTTCACTCCTTTCACAGCACAGCCCTTCCCCCCGCCCACTACTGGCCCCGCACACCGGCCCCCTGGGGAGCAGCACCTGCCGCCCCTCAGGACCCCGTCATTCCCTCCTGGCCGCCCCCTGGTGCTGCCTGCTTTGCCCAGGACACCTCTGGTGGCAGGAGATGCTGGTCAAGGCCCCGTTGGGCCTGGGGCTTGTAACATCATGGACCAGGTGAGGTCAGAAGGGGGACGACCACAGCCCTCCCAGACTCAGACCATTGTCCTGACTCAGGCCCCACCCAACTGGAATGCTCCAGGGACCACCTGTGGGGGTGCTGTGTGTCCTGCACCCCTCTTCTTGGAAGCGTCTGCGGTGGAGACGATTATGCCCGCCTCGGCTTTTGGGGGCACCCAGGCCAGCGATGGAGGCTGGTGTCCCGGCCTTCCTCCTCAAGCTCCACCACCAGCTGCCCAGCTGGCCCCCATCGTCCCCTCTGTGAATGCTGGGGCTCCGAGGAAGGGTGTCCTGGCCACCTCCCAGTCCAAGACCTCGCCGGATGATTCCTGTAACCCCAACAGTGTGTACAAAAATTTCCGACGTTGGCAGCGCTTCAAGGCCCTGGCCCGGAGGCACCTTCCCCAGAGTCCTGATGCGGAAGCTCTGTCCTGCTTCCTCATGTGAGTGCCCTGGGCAGGGCAGGGGGCGCCTGGAGCTTTCACTCAAAGAGGAGCTGGGAGGGACCTGCAGGCGGGCTGATCCCGGGACGCTGGCAGGAAGGTTGAGGGTGGGGTCCCTGCTCTCACAAGGCACATTCTTCGCCACACGCATCACCGCCGCATGTATGGCTTCCTCGCTGGTGCTTTACCGCAACTGAGCTCACCGCCCTGAGCCCTGATCCTCCTCCTAGAGATGGAACCATGAGAGGCAGCTCCTCCCGCCCTCAGGCCCCTCATGACCAGACAATTCTACCTAATTCCGGGATGTGGAGAAGGCTCCTTGGTCTAATGGTCTGTGCTAACCTGAGACGTGTCGGCAGGCTGCCTGGCGCAGGCCGCCTGAGGACAGGGTTATTGCTGTGAAAGGGCAGTCTTGACGAGGAAGCGCTCCATGGCCCGAGTGTCCCAGCGATGGGTGCGAGTTCAGGGTCAGCCTCCAGTCCCAGTTCCCGGGCTGGTGTGAATGTGAGGCCGTGACAACTGCAGCTGGAAGGCTTGTCTTTGCACACAGAGGCCTCCTCCCTCACCTGCAGGCGCTCAGTCCTGCCGGGTCGGGGTGGGAACCTGGCTCCGCTGAGCTGGGGTGGGCAGGCGGGTGGAGGCCAGGCTGCAGCCATGACTGACCCTGAGGCATTACAGCCCGGTGCTCCGGTCCCTGTCCCGCCTGAGGCCCACCATGACGCTGGAGGAGGGAATGTGGCGGGCCATGCAGGAATGGCAGCGCAAGAGCAACTTTGACCGGATGATCTATTATGAGATGGCAGAAAAGTGAGTCAGGGTCCTTGGTCCCCACAGCTGTGTGTGTGTAGGGGGCTGCCTGCGGGGCAGGGTCCAGCTGTGAGGTATCAGAGAGGAGGGTGGTGGGAGGGTGCCACTCAGCACAGGGTCCCCACAGCCCAGAGGCCCTTCTCTCCTGGGGAAGCCTCTCCCTCAGCTTCAGAGCGTGGGTGCTTCTGTCCCACCTCCCGGGAGCTCCCCCCTCCTCTGACCCTGACCCGTCCTGGGCTGGACATGAAGGCTCAGGACAGGCTGGGGGAGGTGCCCGCCCCGTGGGCAGACTCCAGCCAGAGGGGCTGTGCAGGAATGTGCTCAGCCAGCCTCCTGCCCCCCCAGTGTCCGGGCCCTGACAGCCCCAAGGCCCTGGCTCTCCCATCCCCCCACCCGCTGCTGCCTTTCTGGGCTCCCGGGGCCTCCTTCTCAGCACAGCTGTGCCCCCCTCACTCCCAGGTTCATGGAGTTTGAGGCGGAGGAGCAGATGCAGATTCAGAAGTTGGAGTTGAAGAAGGGGGCGCACACCCAGCCCACTCCTGCCCCACCGAGACCTGATCCTCGGGGGCCTCCAGCCCCAGTGGTGGGCGGGCAGCCAGGTAGGCCAGCACGTTCCCACGGGAGCCCATGACCAAAGGCAACAGGGCCTAGGGCAGGCCACTGTCCCACCCACAGGGGCCCTTCGCCTTCAGGGGGGCTTTGGTCTTTCAAGGGAAACAGCCCTGAGAGCAGGGCCTCTGGTCCTTTGTCACCAAGGGGTCTGGACCTGGTCCACTTTCTCATCCCCTCTCCCCGCTCCCTGTCAAAGGCCCCACATGAAGTCTGCTGAGAAGCGGGCTGGCTGCGGGGCCCCTTGGAGACTCGGTGGCTCCACACATCTTCACACATGACTCTTTTGGATACTCTCCCTGTCCTCTCTCCTCACATACTAGTAGTCACCAGGCTTCAGGTGGCCCCAATCCAGCCACACCCACACACTGCCCTCAGCATCGCATGCTCCTGAGGTGGGAGCTTTATCCCCTCACGCTCCCTCCTCTTCCCTCTCTGCCCAGCGCGCACTCCCAGGAAGGCCTTACCCAGTGCCCAGCACATCCGAAGACACCAACGGCCCCAGGAGACCAAGTCACCCAGTGAGATCCCCCCGGAGGTGGTGAGAGAGTACATGGACATCATGGACAATCTGCTGGGCCTGCCGCACTCAGCCACAGAGGCGCCAGGTGGAGGATGGGAGGATGAAGTAAAGGAGTGGCTGCAGGACGAGGGTCTCCTGAGCTACCTGGACCAGCTGTGCTCCCAGGAAGACTTTGTCACCCAGGTGGGCTGGCTGGCAGCTCCGGGTCTATAAGATCCCAGAGGGAGGCGCTGCAGCACCCAGACCCGGGTTCTCCCAGGCTGATGGGATTGGGCTCTGCTCTTTGTTCCTGAGCTGGGCACATGAGAGTGTGTGTCTGTGTGCATGTGTGCGCTTTGTATGGGTGTGGTGTGTGTGCTGTGTTCATGTGGGTGTGCCCGTGTGTGTATGTGCATGTGTGTGTGTGTATGTGTCTGTCTGTGTGTGTGTGTGTGTGTGTGTGTGCACCTGATGACCATGATGGAGTAAAACACCCGCCTGAGCAGGAGGACGGGTGGGTCTTGGCTTTCCCACTTGTGCTCCAGGCCCCGCTGACTCCCAGTTTGCTCCCTGCCAAGGGGCTCACAGCCGCTTCCTTCTGTCCCAGGTGGAGGCGGTCATTCACCCCCAATTCATGGAACAAATAATTTCCCCAGACACACAGCAGGATCCCTTGGCCCTAGCTGAGGAGTTGGAGCAGGAGGAAGGGCTCACTGCTGCCCAGGTGAGCCAGGGGAGGGTGGGATCTTAGGGAGATGGAAGGGGGACTTCAAGTGAGCCATAGGACCCAGGGACCCCAGGGGAGTTAGAGGAGGGACAGGCCCTGGTGAGTCAAGGAGGGAGGAGCTCCAGGTAGATTGGGGGTTCAGGAGAGCCAGGGGAGGGTGCACTCAGGTAAACCAGGGAAGGGGGCAACCCAGAACCAGGACACACAGGCCTCTGTCCATGCCACCCCTGCCTGTAGGCACCGAGGGGCCAGTCCTGGGTAGGAGCAGGGCAGGACAACAAGAAGGAGAGGACAACAGAGAGGAGGGGGTGGGAGCCCAGAAGGGGAGGGGACACCAAGCTGGGAATATGGCACAGGGGACAGAGGAGAGCCACATGACTGTCATGGATTTGAGTCATGGTATCACCTCCCCCCTCCTCCCCCCAGTACCATTGTCCCATCACCCACGCTCCTCCTCCTCACACACGTGAGCAGCGCCAGTCACTGTCCCTTCTTCCTCCCAGCTGGTAGAGAAGCGACTCCTGACCTCCAAGGAGGGGGGCGTGCAGGCACCCCCAAGTCACAGTGCTCCCCTGTTGAACTCAAGTTCTTCTGAGTCTGAGATCGGCCAAGATGCCCAGAGGCGTGACCGTGGCCCCCAGCTGGGGGTCAGTGACAAAGCCTGGCCACCAGAGACTGACTTCAAGGACCAGCAAAGGCGCGGCCCAGCAGACGCCCACCGGCCCAGGCCCCAGGCTTCTGCTGTCTCTGCGGGGCGTCAGGAGCACCCACCACTGCGGGCTCGATGCCCCCCCTCTGCTCCCCAGGGTCACAGGCCTGCTTACTGTGCACTGGGATCCAGGGAGGCCTGCGTCCCCAGAGAGGCCTCTCTTGTCAGAGAGACTCTTGAGCCAGACAGGTCCAGTGAGGATGAGGAGGACCTCCCCAGCTTGGCCTTCCTCTTGGGCTCTCCTAATAGCCTGCTGCCCTGTGGGCTCTCTCTGAGTCCTGTCCCTGCCTCGGGCCTTGCCTGCCCTGGAGGTCGGGGGCCCCGGGGCGCTGCCCAGTCCCAGTTCTTTCAGACACTAGGTCTCACCCGAGCTTCACCTGCAGCTTCCAAATCTCGGAAGCGTGCTCTGGCGGGAGGCCTCGCCTATGCTGAGAAGACCCCCCGCCCAGGGGCCAACCTGGGGGTCTGTGGGAGGCCAGTACTGGCTCTGGAGCTGGTTTGCGCCTCACAGCCTCAAAAGAAAAAGTGTGACCTGGCTGTCACAGGGAGGAGTAATAAGTGACACTGCAGCCAGTAGGGAGCAGTGGGTGTCCCTCCCACTGCCAGCCACCTGGGGGCGTGCTTCCTGTGACCTGGCTGTCCCCTGTGGAGCCAAGGGCTGCTCCTCATCCCAGGGCAAATATGACCCCAGGGATGATCCTGGCTGTTCTACTCACAAGAGAAATAGGGATGGAAGGCAGGACCGTTAGGGTGGGGGTGGGCCTGGGTTTGGGGGTAGGAGCAGCACCTTTGGGGCACTGTGTGTCAATTATGAATAAAGATGGTTTTGTTAAGACATTCTAGTGGCCACCATCTCCGTATTGGGTCTGCACTGTTCCATGGAGAGGGGACCTGGCAGGAAGAAAGGTTGTGGTAGGTCACAACTGCTGTAGGTTCACAGGTGAACCTCCAGTTCCTCTGTCCAGATTGGCAGGAACCCCTTCCAACTGCTCCTGGGAGCACACAGCTCTCTAATCCCCAAGGATCCATCTCATCATGGCTACTGACAAGACCCAACTGGGTGAGGGGCCAACTGGGGCCTCCTATTGTCACCTGTATTCTGAACCCTCTGGAGATGAGGAGCTTCTTTTGAGGCTTTCAGCCCTCCAGACCATTAACCAGTTTTGTAGAAAAAATCTTCCATCTATGTCCTGGAAGCAGTCAGATAACAATGCTTGGAAATCCTACAATCTTCCCTAATAGCTAGAAATCCATTATAAGAAGAAAACTGAAAAAACAGACAAGCACATGGAGGCTAAATAACATGCTACTAAACAATAAATAGTAACCAGCAAGGCTAACATTTAGAATCAAAGGGGATAAAGAACTTCCCAGACAAGAAAAACCTTAAAAAGTTCATGACTACCAAACCAGTATTACAAGAAATGTTAAGGGAATTTCTTTAAGAATAAGAGGGGGAAATCATAAATATGAAAATACAATGGCAATGACCACATATATATTTGGATATTAACTCTTTATCAGATGTATCATTGCCAAATATGTTGTCCCATACAGTGGGCTGCCTTTTCATTTTGCTGATGGTTTCTTTTGTTGTGCAGAAGCTTTTTATTTTCATGTAGTCCCGTTTGTTTATTTTCTTCTCAGTTTCCTTTGCCCTAGATATATCCATAAACATATTGCTATGAGAGATGCCTGAGATTATTGCTGTCTATGGTTTCTTCTAGGGTTTTTGTGGTTTCCTGACTTACATTTAAGTCTTTTATCCATTTTGAGTTTACTCTTATGTATGGTGTAAGTTGGTGGTCTAGTTTCATTTTTTAGCATGTATCTGTCCAATTTTCCCAACACTATTTATTGAAGGGACTGTCTTGACTCCATTGTATGCTCTTGACTCCTTTGTCAAATATTAATTGAATGTAATGGCTTGGGTCAATTTCTGGAGTCTCTGTTCTGTTCCATTGATCTATATGCCTGTTCTTGGGCCAGTATCAGGCTGTTTTTATTACAGTGGCATTGTAGTATAACTTGATATCTGGTATTGTGATTCCTCCAACTTTAATCTTTTTTCTCAAGATTGCTGCAGCTATTCAGGGATTTTTTGGTTACATGTAAATTTTTGGAGTGTTTGTTCTAGATATGAAATGTGCTGTTGGTATTTTAATAGGGATTGCATTGAATCTGTAGATTGCCTTGGGTAGTATGGACATTTTAATGATGTTAATCCTACCAATCCATAAACACAGTATATTCTTCCACTTGTCTATATCTTCCTCTATCTCCTTTTTCAACGTCCTGTAGTTTTCAAAGAACAAATCTTTTACCTCCTTTATTTAGTTTATTCCTATCTTAATTTTTTTTGTTGCAATGGTAAATGGGATTGTTTGTTTAGTTTCTCTTTCTGAGAATTTATTATTGATGTATAAAAAAAAACATAGATTTCTGAGTGTTGATTTTGTATCCTGCTACATTGCCAACTTCATTTATTAAATCTAATAGTTTTTGGTGGAGTCTTTAGGGCTTTCTATGTATAATATTCTGTCATCTATGAATATTGAGAGTTTTACTTCCTCTTTCCAATTTAAATGCCTTTTATTTCTTCTTGTTGTCTGATCGCTGTAGCTAGGATGTCCAGTACTATGTTTTATTCCTATTCTTAGGGAAAATGGTTTTACTTTTTGCCCATTGAAAATTATGTTTGCTGTAGATTTATCATACATGGCCTTTATCATGTTGAGGTATGCTCCATCTATTCCCACTTTGCTGAGAGTTTTTATAAAAAATGGATGTTGGATTTTGTCGAATGTTTTTTCTGCATCTATTGATGTGGTCATGTGGTTTTTGTCTTTCAATTTATTTAAGTGATGTATCACACTTGTTGATTTGTGAATATTGTACCAGCCTTGCATCCCTGGAATAAGTCCCACTTGGTCATGGTGTATGATCTTTTTAATATATTTCTGGATCCAATTTGCTAATATTTTGTTGAGGATTTTAGCATTATATTGATCAGGAATTTTGGTCTGTAATTCTCTTCCTTTGTAGTGTCTTTATCTGGTTTTGGAATTAGGATAATGCTAGCCTCATAAAAAGGGTTTGAAAGTGTTCCTTCCTCTTGGATTTTTTTGAATAGTTTGAGGAGTATAGGTGTTAGTTCTTTTTTGAATGTTTGGTAAAACTCACCTGCAAAGCCATCCAAACACAGGCTTTTGTTTTCTGGCAGTTCTTTTATTACTGCTTCTAACCCATTCATTGTTTAATAACATGCTATTTAGACTCCATGTGATTGAATGTTTTTGAGTATTTTTACTATAGTTTATTTCTAATTCTATTTCACTATGATCTGAGAAGATGCTTGATATGATTTTAATCTTGTTGAACTTGTAGAGACTTATTTTCTGTCCTGTCTTAGTGGTCTATCGTTGAGAATCAGAATCACCCATGGGCACTTGAGAAGAATGTATATTCTGCAGCTTTGGAGTGAAATGTTCTATAAGTATTAATTAAGTCCATCTGATCCAGTGAGTCCTTTAGAGTCACTGTTTACTTGTTAATTTTTGTTCTGGAATATCTATCCAGTGAAGTCAGTGGGGTGCAAAAGTCCCCTACAATGACAGTATTGTTGTTAATCTCTCCCTTAAAGTCCTCTAGAAGTTTTTTTCTATATGTTTAGGTGCTCCTATATAGGATGCATCTATGTTTACCAGGGCTGTCTCCAGCCTCGGGCACCTCTTTCCTGTCCTAGATGGTGATACACTTGACTATTCCAGCCTCAGCTGCCGTTTTGCTGTCTTCCAGTGGCCTGGTCAGCACAGCCCCTGTGCACTTCCCTTCCGCTTCCCCTCTAGACGGCCACCTCGCTCTGTGCTTGGCCACGCTGGGCTCTTGGCCCTCATTTCTGGCCTTGGAGGAACCATTTCCTCTGCACAGAAGTCTCCCCTCCCTCAGGTCCCTGCAGCTTTCAGCCCACATGTGTCCTCCCTGGAAGCTCTCCGCCCCACTTGGCCTCTGCACGCTATAGGCCCCTGCCGTGCCCTCACTGTGTGGCATTTGTACCTGCTGGTCTCACCAGCTAGCTGGCCCAATGCTAGGCCGAAAACTCTGAGGGCAGGGACCAGGCTTCCATGGCTTATTGCCTTTTCCTCCAAGAAAATTCCTGACATATAGTAGCGAGGCAGGAAACATTAATTAGATGAATGAATGAATGAATGAATGAATGAGACCACCCATTGCAGTAGGTCAATGTATGGCCAGCTTCCAGAGCCTACCCAAACACACCTAACTCCATGAACTGCTCCCTGAACAAGGACTCCACATATGCACCTAATTGTGCCAAAACTTATCAGCGTGGCATCAGTAGCTTCTGATTTCCAGGAGACAGGTATCACCATCCCTGGGCACTGAGGTGAATGGGGAAGGTGTTTCCTGGCTTCCAAGACACCCGTGGGCACCCTTGATGGGTGCAGGCAGAACAGAAGTCACAGGACGACTGCCTGGACAGGAAGTGGGTGTAAAAATAGCTCCTTCAGGTCAACTGCCACTTCACTGTGCAGCAAGTGAGGGATGTGCCCGGGAAAGGCATGGGGGTGGGGGCAGGAGGGAGAGCACACAGGCATTGCCTCCGCTGCATGTTTGTGACCCACCCTAGACGCTTGCCCGTCCTCTCCCAGGATCACATTTCCTGCGATGCCCCTTTCAGGAATCGGGACCAGCTGCATAGGTGGCGGTGCCGGGCAATGCTTCACCCAGTTTCCCTTCCCCAAGGAGCGCGTAAAAGCAGCTGCTCTTGTCAAATAAAACATCATCATGAGCCAATGACGTTGCAAAGCCCTGGTGGCCCTCAGGGGGCACCGGTCCCAGAGGGGCAGTGCAGTGGCACAGACAAGCAGCAGAAAGCCAGGGAGGCTGAGCCTGTGTGCTGGCATCCCCTCCTCCCTTTGCCCCTGCTCAGGCGGGCCCTGCTGGCCGTGGAGACCACGACGACCTAT